TGTTAAAGGGTATTTAGGTCTTTTATGTAATACCTATGGTTTCTTAAGGTTTTCCTAGCTCTTATTATAAATAGTGGGACGGGCTAACACAATTGTTAAGCCTTTTAATTCTTTTAAAAATTCGGTTACTGTTCATCCCGCCGGCACTGTTCATCCGGTCGTACTGTTCATCCGGCTGGTTTTTGGTCAGTGTTCAATCTGCTAATTTCAGATCTGCTTCGGTTATTGGTTATTGTTCGTATGACAGTACTACAACTGTTCGTAAGTCTAGTTATGACTCTCACGTTCTTCGTTTAAGCCCTACAGTTGTTTGTATTGTTGGTTTGTTTCCCTTGTGCGAGCTGTTTATTACTTGTTGAATTGGAAGGTATTAATATCGATGACTACACCTCAACCATTAACAACCCGTAAGTTGAACGGAACCAATTATTTAAATTGGTCTAAAGCTGTGAAAATAGCCCTAACTGGACAGGGAAAACATCGTCAGATCACGGAATCCGCCCCGGCAACAGATGATAAAAAGTATGACGACTGGATTCAGGCTGATGTGCAGATTGTAACATTGTTGTGGAATTCGATGGAGCCTCAGGTGGCTGAACCCGTAAGTTGAACGGAACCAATTATTTAATTTGGTCTAAAGCTGTGAAAATAGCCCTACCTGGACAGGGAAAACATCGTCACCTCACGGAATCCGCCCCGGCAACAGATGATAAAAAGTATGACGACTGGATTCAGGCTGATGCGCAGATTGTAACATTGTTGTGGAATTCGATGGAGCCTCAGGTGGCTGATCTCTGTACTCATCTAGATACGTGCAAAGATATATGGGAGTATCTCCGTGTATTATATTCTAGTAATCTCACCAGGATGTATGATTTATCAGTGGAGTACTTCCAACTTCAGCAAGGCACGCAATCCGTTACAGATTATTTTGCCACATTCAACCGCCTCTATGAGGAGATGAATACTATCCTACCACTGACTATCGATCTGAAGGAAATGCAAAAGCAACGTGAGCAGATGGCTGTCATGAAGTTCTTGGCTGGGTTACGTCCAGACTTCGAACCAGTCCGATCTCAGATTCTTTCGAGTGCTACCCTCCCCACCATCACTGAAATGTATTCTCGTGTTTCCCGTAGTACTACCAAGGACAATGTTTCTGGCTCGGGTTCGTCTACGTCATCTGAGCATTCGGCACTTGTTACACAGATTCCCACGCGAAATCGAGATGATCCACTTAGTGGTGGTCGTGGTAGTTTCTCTCGTGGTCGCCGTGGTAGTGGCCCTCGGGGTGGACGTAGTGGCCGTGGTCGTGTCTCCATTCGTCAGTGCTCCTTTTGTGGGTTGGAGAATCATAATCGAGACACATGTTGGGATTTGGTTGGCCGTCCACCCAAATTTGCCAATGCAGTGACATCTGATCCAGATATTCCTACCATTCCAGTATCTCAGGCGGCTAAGGACATATCTGATGAGGAATATGCTCAGATCCTTCAGTATAGGGCATCTCAGCAGGCATCTCTTCCTATTGCTTCTTTAGCTCAACGAGGTACTTCTTCTGCTTGTCTTTCCATTCGTCCATCCCCTCCCTCACCCTGGGTCATCGATTCCGCAGCCACTGATCACATGTCAGGTACATCTTCTTTATTTACGCATATTCAGTCCTCTTCTTCGTTGTCTCCTGTTACGGTTGCTGATGGTTCCACTATCCCTATCCGTGGCATTGGTACAGTGGACCCCTCACCCTCCTTATCTCTCTCCTCCGTCTTGTATATTCCTTCGTTTTCCTTTAATTTGATGTCAGTTAGTAAACTCACCAAACATCTTAATTGTTCTGTCTCATTTTTTCCTGATTCTGTCATTCTCCAGGATTTGAGGACGCGGAAGACGATTGGCACAGGGCGTGAGGACAATGGCCTTTATTACCTTGATCGTGATGAGAGTCCTGCACACCCTCCTACTGCATGTCCTGCTGTTGCATCTGCTCACCAAATCCATTGTCGCCTTGGTCATCCCTGCCTTGGCAACCTCAAGTTACTCTTTCCTAGTTTCAGTCATTTGTCTTCTTTAGAGTGTGAGTCTTGTCAATTGGGTAAGCATCGTCGTGTTTCATTTGCTTCCCCTGCTCATGTTCGAGCATCGAGTCCTTTTAGTTTAGTTCATTCAGATGTTTGGGGTCCTTCTCGTGTTACTTCTACAATTGGTTTTCGTTATTTTGTCACTTTTGTGGATGATTTTTCAAGAGTTACTTGGCTTTATTTAATGAAAGATCGTTCCGAATTATTCTCTATTTTTCGTGCATTTTGTGCTGAAGTTCAAACCCAATTTAATGTACCCGTGCGTATTCTTCGTAGTGATAATGCTCGAGAATATTTTTCTCAGCCCTTTACTTCCTATATGTCGCACTCTGGTATCCTGCATCAGTCTTCTTGCCCTCACACACCACAGCAAAATGGGGTTGCTGAGCG